AAAATCACAAGACGGGCCACAGTCTGAGGAAGACGCGGGAAACAGAGGAAGGCGGTCGCCCTTGTGGCCAGATGGCTCTCCCAGGGCCCTGGCCCCTGAGGCTAAGTGAGGGCATGGGAGCTGGCAGGGTGCGTGCATGTGCGTGTATGAGAGAGAGAGACACCACTCCGCGCACTCCACTCACTGCCTCGCCACCAGGCCCCTGGGCCAGGACAGCAGCCCTGAGTTTTCTGCACCCTGGGCTGGGACTCGCCCGCCCCGAGGCCTGCCATTTAATCTGTCAGGAGATAGTCCAAGCTCTTCCAGCACCGCGGGCTGCGGTGTCCACACAGCAAGTTCCCCTCTGAAGGCTCCTCGGAGTCAGGGCCCTGGCTGCAAACCCACGGGGTGAGGACAAAGGCAAAGGGGGGGGGGCTTCCAGAGACCTTGCTGGGAGGGGGCTTGCTGGAGAAACAGACCATTCTGGCGGACCCGCGGGGGCCACCCAGGCAGGGAGAGGCGTCTGTGGCCGTGTGTGGGTGGAAGTGGGGTGAGCAGGGTCCGCAGCCTCGCTTTGCATGCGCAAAGCCCTGAATGGCTGCCCCGGCCACCCCAGCCGAGCGGAACTGACAGTGGCCGGCAGGGTTACTTTCCAAGCCCCGTTTGTGCGTCTGCGCATCCTGCTTAGCCTGGAGGCCTGCCTCCCCACACAGGGAGTCCAACTCATAAGGGATTGGCCTGTCAAATAAACAATGACAAGCATACAGAATAATATACAGGAATTAAAACATTTAACATCAGGGCCTCATCACACAACATATTAATACATAAAAAACAAGATATATTAGAATACGTATAGCACGCCCCCGTGTGTGAACAATGACGCAGCGCACGCCACATGCCGTAACTGCACGTCACACTTACCCCTGGAAGGAGCGGAAGCAGCAGGACACACAACGTGCTGACGACAGGCATCTCTGAAAGAAGGGGACACGCAGGCGAGATCTGTTTTCTTCTTTACAACTTTCTGTCCTTCCACATTTTTCTTCAATGAACGGACGTTTGTAATAAAATAAAGGGGGGGGTGTAAGACCAGCAGCGAGGGATGGGCTCTCCCCACCTCCCCCGCCCACCTGGAGAAGGAGGCCCAGACACGGCCAGCGGCAGCATCCAGCACCGTCAGCGGCGTCAGCATCGATGGGTCCGAGGCAGCCACCCCCTCTGTGCTCACCTGTTGCTCCCGGGCTCAGTGCGTCTCACCCTTTCCAGCCCTGGTCCCTTTGCCCAGGCCGCATCCTCCCCTGTGCTTTCCCCACTCTCTGGTAGTCAGAATCCTATCCTTCCTTCAGAAGGACCACCTCAAACCTCAAACGTCTTCTGCATCCCCGCCCCTCGCCCATGTTCTGTCCCTGCCTCCGGGTCCCACCTCCCCATGCCACCCACTCCCCTCCAGGACACAACAGGGGGGCCAGGCTCTGGCTTGGGTGCAGCAGACACAAAGCACTGGGGTGGGGCGGGGGAGACTTCCTCCCTGCAGCCGGGGCCTGACTCTCCTCAGGATGCAAGAAATTCCGCTGGTGCAGGAGGCAGGGTGGCGGTGCCCCTGGGCCATCGCATCATAGCTCCTGCCTGGGACTCTGCATGGTCCCTTCAGGGGCCGAGTGCTGTGTGCAGAGCTGACCGGTGAGATCCAGAGGGTGGGCGAGGCCAGGCTTCCTGACGCTGGGCCAGGCTGGGGTGACCCATGGTCCCCAAGTCCCCAGGACTGAGGGCCTTCTCAAGACAGTTTTCAGTGCTAAAACCGGGAGAGTCCCAGGCAAGCTGGGCTGGTTTGTCACCCTGTCAGGGGCTGAGCCCTCCCTGTGGGGCTCTGGGACCAGGCCACTACCACATGGTGTCACATGTGCGAGCCCACAGTCCCTGTCTCTGCAGGATGGGGAGGCCCTGTACCCAGGTCATGAGGCAAACAGTGTCTGTCCCCCAGTGTCTCACTGCTCCTCCCCATGCTGTGTCCCTCTGCTGTTCCAGGAGTCCAGCCCTGGGCCTTATTCCTGTGGGCACACGCAGACCCTCCAGCCCTGGGACACCTCCAGCATCCCTCCCGTGGTTAGACTCACTCGTTTCCAGGACTGATTGTAGTCACCTCTCCACAAGGCCTCCACCCCAGCCCACAGATGTCCCTTCTCCCAGCCAAGCAGCCCCCACGCCTCAGTGCTTGGTCTCACTGCCCCACCTCTGAGCTCCCTCCTCCCAGAGAAATCGTGGCCAAACCCCGTCAGTCACTGGCTCATCCAGTAAGAAGTGACCGTCTGGTGTGGGGTTGGGAGCACGTGTCTGCAGGCACGCCGGCAGGTCGAGTCCCAGCTGGCTGCTGTGTGACTCTGAACAAGTCATGTAACCTCTCTGGGCATCAGCTCCTTAATGTCCAACCCAATCGACAACCTCTGCCTCTGAATGGCACAGGACCTGCTGTGCAGGCCATGGGTCGGCGCCTGCGGGGCGAGTCTCCCGGGTACCAGGAGCCCTGAGGCAGTGGGAACGTACAAATGACAGGATGGCCGCTCAGCAGGGCAGGTGGCGGCGCCAAGCAGTGTGGTGGTGGGAGAGTCATGGCCTGGGGCAGAGGGCAGCTGCTAGGCCTGGGCTGAGCGGGGAGGCCCCCCACGTGGGGTGACCAGTGGGTGCAAAGGCCCTCTGCCAGTCCCAGAACGGGGCCCCGGCGTGGAGATGCTGGAGACGGACACTGGAGAGAGCCCTGACCTGCAGGGTGCACTTCCTGGGAGCCTGGATTTCCTCCTGTTGCTGTGAGGAAGCCTGGGTGGCTGGGTTAATCGGGAGGAGCAGCATTCTGCGCAGGACACTCAAGTGGACCAGAGGACCCAGGTTCGTCTGCAGCCTCCCGGCAGCTTGGTACAGCACAAAGCCATCTTGCCAGGGTCCACGGGCCCAGCGGGACGACCCCCCGGTGCCCATACACCTCAGCTTCCGGGAAAGGCCGGCGTCCAGGGTCACACGCCGCGATGCCACTCGCTCCGGCCACAGCTCCAGCTCCGAGCTTCCAGCGACACCCCGCCACAGGCCAAGCCCCAGCTCCCAACCCCAGCTCACCCGAGCAGAGCAGCTTCCCCACCCCCAGCCTCCGTGGACTCCCCGCTCGAGCTGGGACTTGCCCTTCTCACTTTCCCATCAATGACTCAGGGATCGGGCAGGGGTGAGGCCAGGGCCGCAGGGCGCAGAGATGGTGGCAACAGCCCCTCCCTGGCTCTGCAGCATCCTCAGGCCCAACTGAGCAAGTTTTTCCATCTCCTGAGTGTCTGCCGGCACTGTCCCGGCCTCTCTGCGCCCCCGAAAAGGGCTTGACCCTGCGCTGCGGTCCAGCCGAGCATTCCTAGGGTGAGGGCCCACACTCCTTCTTCCAAACTCGGTTGCCTGAGCAGTGAGGACACCCCTTCCCCAGCAGACAGACTCCCCACAGAGGTCACGTATCTTAAAAAAAAACCAAAAACAAAACCCAGTGTGTGAGCCCCCGACCCCGACCCCGACCCCTGCGCTGTGAGTCCTTGGCACCTCCAGGGAGCTACAGCTCTTAGTGATTACCCCCATCCCCAAAACCGCCCTTGGGGGCGCCTTCTACACTCGGGGCTCTGGGCTGGGGGCTCCAACCGCAGCTCACGCTCCAGGGGGGCTGGGCCTCTCCCAGCAAGGGGAGAAGCTGCAGCTGGGCTTGGACAGGAACCAAAGCCAACTTGGAAGCGACAGGGCTGCGTGTTCCCAAAAAGCCGGAAGCGCCGGGAGCTGGAGGCCGCCTCCCCCTCCACGGTGTGTGCCCCCTGCTGCCCCTCGCAGCCTGCATCCTGGAATCAGCCCTCTGAGCCAAGGACCAGGGAGGCAGTGCCAGTGCTCCTGGGCTGCTCGCACCGGCCCTCTTGGCACAGGTGGCGCTTCCCCCCCACCAGGCTCTGGGCCAGACGTTCCTCCTCCTCCGCCCCCCCGGTGCCCAGCACAGCCCGGCTGCGAGAGGCGTCTCCCGTGTTTGCTGAATGAGCGTGTCTCGAGTCCCAGTTCCGTCTGCTCACAAACACTCCCCTTCTGAGGCCTGGACGCCTCCCTGAACCCCCACCGACATCACCAGTCACCTCTGGGTCTCCCTGGAAGGGCAAGGATTCTGTTCCATAGCAGGATGGAGAAGCTAACCCTTGCACGTAGCTTGAATCAAGGGAACACCGCCCTCCCTACCACCTCCACACACATCCCAGAGCTCACGGCAGGCGCCGCCAGCTGACCCCAGCACGCCGACGGCATGGGTCAGGGCTGGCACGGGAGATGCTTCTGTGCCACCACGGGGTGGGGGTGTGGCCTCATGAGATCATACCTGAGCTGTCTGCAAAACCCCTTTGTAATTTGTAAGTTCTTACTCGATCGTGAGATGCAGTTTCCACAGCCGACAAGCAGGAAACCGCAGAGAACCCTGGACAAAGGATGGGTCTGGGTGAACAGCAGAAGGCGTCTGACGGGGCACCCAGGCTGGAGGCACTAAGAGACTCTGACTTGCTGCGGGGCCGCTCAGCCCCCTTCTCCTGCCAGACTCTGAAGCAGGCCGCTGCTTTGCGACGGGGGGGCTGCACGTGGCGGGCCCGCTTGGTGGCTTCTGTGTAACTCTGGGCAGCCCCATCTCTACCTCGGACTCCCTGATGCTGAAGTTCTCCCATTTAAACCGCCCAGGAAGGAAGACGTGGTGCACAAAAAGGCTGGGGGTGTGCAGGACAGGGGACAGGTCCTGCCCAGGGCGCAGGGCCGCCCCTCCAGGAGAGCAGGCAGAGGGGCGTCTGTCAACACTGAGCGGGCCAGAGCGACGCCCCTCAGTCTGGGCCTCCCGGCCCTCCCTCCTCTGAGACCCTGTTGCAGTGACCCTCCCCCCCCAGGCTGGAGATCTGGGGACAGGGTGTGGACTGGGAAAGTAGGGGAGAGGAGACAGATGCTCCAAGCACTGGGTCTTTGGGAGCAAAGAATTTCACTCAGCAAACAGTGTGGTCCCTGCCCTTTGCAGGGCACCTGCATTTTGGGACAGGTGTGAAATGGTAATGGCTGGACCCCCACCCGAACCCCACCCCCTCCAGACCTAGTACCGCAGAGGGGTGGGTGGGGAGATGGGCAGGAGAGGGGCGGGGGGGAGGAAGTGTGCAAAAGAGAGGCCTGGATGGGTGGGGGTCCCAGAAGGACCCAAGCAGCAGACGATCCCCAAGTGTGACCCCATCAGCGACCCCGCAAAGACAATCCAGAGGCGAGCCTGGGTGGTGCCTCCTCTGGGCGCCAAGCTGGCCTCCTGAGTCCTGAGGCGCTGACTCAGTGCCCCGCCCCCGGGGGCCGGCCTTCCCCCAGGCCTGGCACCTCTGGGTGTGTGCAGGGGCGGAACAGCAGTCTGTGAAGCAGACAGCCGGGCCACGGTGGGAGGGGCTCTGAGGCCAGCTCTCCATCACAGTATCGGAGGCCAGGCCTGCAGTCAGAAGGCCCAGAGCCTGTGCGTCCTGAGAGTCTGAGTGCCCAGGGGCTGAATCTTCATCCTCAGCCGGAGTGGCTCCTCCGCGGCCTGGCCACTGCTCCAGCTCCAACGCCTCTACGGCTTGTGCCTCGCCAAATGCAGCAGTCTTGCTCCATGAGCCAAGAGGCACCCGGCAGCTGGTGAGAAAGAACAGCAGTTAGGGCAGGGCAGACAGGGGACGAGCCTCTGCCAGAGCTGTCTGAGACCAGGGCTTCCCTACCTGCTCCTACACTTTAGGAGAAACTCAGAAAATGGCATTTGTACAACCCTCTGTGATCCCAGAGGCCTGACGAATCTAAGTGGATCATTTTTCAGAATGCCAGCCTCTCCACTCCCCCTCACTGCACCGTGAGAGGGTCAAAGGGGTGGGGTGGACAGCACCGCCCGACTGCCACCGACCACCAGGCGGGGCGCCAGGCCCCGGGGACTCCACCTGGTGAGGCCAGGAGCTGCAGGGCATGGAGGTCAGGAGGTCGGAGGTGGCAGTGGGGCTAGAGGGATATACGTTTCCACCGGAGAGACGACAATTAGACCTTCCTCAACCGGCTCCTGGTTCCCACAGGGCGGGAGTGGCGTCGGGGGAAGAGGGCACAGGGCTGGGAGCCAGGGCTTCTAGGTTCTATTCCTGGTCCCTCCCCAGAGCCTTCCTGACCACAGACCCGCCCCCACCCCCTGCCCCTCTACCCAGGGAGGATTAAGACATCACAAATAACAAACCATGACCCCATCGGACACCCATCCACCCCCTGCCCAGTCTCACACCCCCTCCCCGAGCCTCTCCTCCTGGGCCCAGCCCGGGCACTCAGGGGCAGGGGGACCGGCCCACCCCTGGGCATCAACGGCCTGAACTGCCCATCCCCCCACTCCCCTGGTTCCCGACAGCTCAGCCCCGGGACCCAAAACCCACCGTCAATGACAGGTAGTGAAGCTCCCAGGCCCAGCTGAGCCAAGCCCCCTCCCAAGGCCCCACCTTGGGAGCTACACTTCCCGGTTCTGGTGCCAGCCTGGAGGACCCTGAGAGCTGAGGAAGACTTCTCCCTCCTCAACTCCCCGGCTCAAACTCCTGGACGAGTGTCATCCCAGCAGAAAGGAGGGGCAAGCTCATGTCCCTCCCCCCTCCACAGCTCCCAGGAACAGCCCAGGGGCCCTGCCCCGTGGAGGCAGAGGCCCAGCAGCCTGAGGGACAGACTGCCAGCCAGCCAGCCAGCCAGCCTCCCTGCCCTGAGCCGGGGCATAACCGGCCTGAAGCTTCCTGCCCCCCTTCCTCTCGGACACCCGCCAGGGTCACGTTCAGACCTCCCTGCCGGGTGCCCCGGGGTGCCCAGGCCCAGGCCTCCTGAGTCCCCTCTCCTGTTGGCCCTAGTAGGGTCCAGCTTTGAGCGGAACCCTGGTGGCAGGCTCCATTTTCTCCGCAGGGGAACGAGGGGACGGGAGGGCAAGAGGGAAGGAGGGCTCAGACCCCAGGGGCTTACCCGACTCGGCCTCCGAGCACCGCGTCCACGGGCAGCGTGAAGCTAAGACGCACGCCCGCGGTTCAGGACACGAGGGTCCCGGCCCCGAGGCTCTGCCGGGCCCGCACCGTCTGGATGGCCTGCTGGTTCTTGAACTTGACCAGACCCAGGGTGATCTGAGCGTTCCAGCCGGGGTCCTCGAGCGGGCAGCGGAAGTCGATCTCGCCGCCGCCCTCGGTCACCAGCGTGAAGTAGATGTGGCGCCCGGTGCTCTCCACGCACTCCACGGCCTTGATGCGGGCGAAGCTGAGCTCCTTGGGCCGGCCGCCCGCGCCCTTGGCCTCGAAGAGCTGCAGCCCGCGCTCGGTGAGCACGCAGCGCTTGCGTTTCCACTGCTGCAGCAGCCCGCCGCTGCGCTTCTCCAGCACGCCCTCCCGGAGCACCGCCGTCATGGCCCCTGCGGCCCCCGGCGCCCGCCCGCGCGCCCCGGGCCCCCGCCGCCT